GTGCCTGGAATGTTACAAGTCCAGCTGACCCCCACCCCAAGGGGAGCTCAGCCAGTCTTTGGCTAGGAGTGCAAGGGCCCATCTCTCTGCTGCAGGACAAACTCTGAAGCCTAATTCTTGCCCCAGAATTCCCAGCAGGACCAGGTGCAGCTAGGACCTTACCTCCAGTCTTGTCCTTGCTTGGTTCCTGCCCTCTGATACTGCTTCCTCATTCCTTCACTGGTTGTCCTGGGAACCTCCCTCAATAAGCCACTTATGTATGGGTCCTTGACTCAGATTGGGTTTCTGGAAGGATCCTCCCTAAAACCCATTTTATCTGGCTAACCACAGTGAATAATCCAATATACCAAGGCAGGGAAGAAAGAATGCAGAAGCAAGAACTCCTGTTGTTTAGAGATCATTAAAACCAAATTTTCAGAAATGGACATTGGAGATTTAGTCACATCTACTAACACAGAAACCTCCTGCACTTTGGGAGATGGTGTCCTCCAGAAACTCCCTGTCAGCTCTACTGATGGAGGTTTTTAAAGGAAATTATTACTCAACAGGTTGATAGGAAAGGAAGGATTTAATTTAAAATGTAGAATGTAAGGTAAGACTTGCTGGGAGGAAGGTAGAAGTCACAATTGGATTAGAAATCCCCACAGCACTGAAAATTTCTGAAAAGAGCCCTGGCTGACGTAGCTCAGTGGATCGAGCGTGGGCCTGTGAAGCAAGGGGTCATTGGTTCAATTCCTGGTCAGGACACATGCCTGGGTTGCAGGCTGGGCCCCCAGTGGGGGGCACGTGGGAGGCAACCACACACTGATGTTTCTCTTCCTCTCGCCCCTTCCCTTCCCCGGGAAGGGAAGACACGGAGGCCACAGTGGCCCAGTGGCTCTGCCACGCAGCAGTGACCTTCGAGTTCCCAGGCTCCCAGAGAGGAGCATGGATTTGGGGGTGTAACTGGATTCTGGGCCTGATGAGGAGGTGGGCCCCAGAAATTCTTTCTCTCTGGGGATCAACACTATATAAGTATACGTATGCATACACATATATGTATATACACATATACACACACACACACATATACATATATAAAAGACCTCTTTGCCAGCAGAAATAAAAATTTTTCCACTCAGAATTTTTGTTGAAAGCCTTTCCTCCCCTTTCCTCTATAATAATGCTGTCTCCATCCTGTTTTCTACTTAAAAATTTTTCTAAAGCTAGTCGTTGAAAAATGGAAGCTTTGTTTTATCCACATAGGGATAGCTTGTTGTGCCAGAAAATAAGATGGTCAAAGAATTATGGGAATGTGTCAAAATTGTCTCAGAAATGAAGACTAAATGACAGGGTGTTTGAGGGAGAGTAAACGGGCTGGAAATACAATAAAAGGTACAGAGAAGAGAAATGAAAAGAACTAAGACAATGATTCAAAAATGAATAAAGTTTTAAAAAGGGATCAGAAAGAAAGAGATAGATACAGAAAACAGGGAAGGGAGATTCAATAGATGTATAATTGGAGTCTCTGAGAAAGAAAATCAAAACAGCAAGAAGGGACTAATTTTTAAAGTTCTAATTCAAGAAAAAAAATTGGCATTAAATAGAATCCAAGTGTATACATTTAAAAGGTACCACATTTGCCTGAAGAGGGTGACTCAGTAAAATCAACTCTGAGACATAATACTGGTAGAATTATTAGACTTTAAAAGATAGAAACATTCTCTGGGACTCCAAGCAGGAAGCAAAAATCCTTTAACAAGGGAAAAATAAGTGTGGCATTATGTTACTGACATAAACATTCAACACAAGAAAACAGTGGGATCGCACCTATAGAGAAAAAAAATTGTGGGACAGTCAACCTGTAATATCAAGGCTATGAGAAAGCAATTTTAAACATGCCGGAGCTCATGAAATATTCTTTCCATTAGCTCTTTCTGGAAGGGGGCGGGATGAAGTTGCATAGGAGCTGTTTTTGAATGCTATTGAAGTTAAACTGACGTAACAAAATTTGTATTAGAACTTTAAGATGTTAAACATGTAGCCACAAAGAAAATAGCTACAGAACATGTACAAAACAAAGACAAAAACAAGAAAGGAATTAAAACCTACAAAAATTTAACTAAATAAAAAAAAGATGCAGGAAATGAGGAACAAGAAACATTTAAGGAATATAGAAAATAAATAAATTGGTAGGATTAAGTGCCTTCTTGTCACTAGTTACTTTAAATGTAAATGGATAAACCCTTTAATCTAAAGACAGAGGTAAGTGGAAAAGATTTTAAAAAGCCCATGACCCAGCTAGTTGCTGTTCACAAAACAGAAATAGGTTGATAACAACAACAACAAAAAAGTAGTTTTGACTATAGAACATTCTACACATTTTTCTCAAGGGCACATAGGACATTCTCTATTCTAGACCATATATTAGGCCACAAATTAATTTGCAGTGGATTTTTAAAAAACAAATAGCATACAAAGTAATTTCTCTGACCGTAACAGATTGAAGTTAAACAATCAGTAGCAGAAGGAAAATTGTAAAATTCTCAAATTTGTGGGTCCATTGTCTTAGGATGCCAAAGCAGGATGGGGATCGAACCTTGGCTGATATTCAGTGAATACCTGGGCAGGAATACAGGCAAAAATAACCTGAGTGCAAGAATGCTCTCAATCATAGAGACATCAGAATCGGAAAAAAAAAAAACAACGGCCAATTCATGATGATCAGAGAAAAGGTGACTGAGGATGAGAAATTACTATATTCTTGCTTATGCTATTAATCCGTGACAATGTTTTATTACATCCTGACAGAAAGAATATCAACATCACTAGAAATTTCTTCTACTTCAAAGTCGAGAAGCCTTTGTTTCACAAACGTCTCAAGTTCAGACTGTCCAAAATGTAATACATCAGTCCAAACATTAACAGATTCTTGAGGACAGGACGCGTGCTCAGGCAAGGCCACCGAAGCAGAAGTGAGAAAAGAAAACGTTTTCTACCTAGTGTGGAGTGCAGATTATGTACCCGAGCCCAATTTTTTCCTCCATGCTACCAGTCCCTTTTGTACATTTCTTACATTTGCTGACTCTATTATACATTGATAGTTAAATATGTACAGCAACACATTTATAAAGTCACTTCAAGCAATACATTTAAATTGTAATATCATATACGGCTTTAAACTGCTTTTAAAAGAAAATTAATCTAATCAGTCTTGTTCTGGGGCACAGTTGCATAAAATAATATTTTAATCTGTAGGAGCAACATAATTCCAGGGTTTCTTGGGTTGAAATTCTCTGGTGCTACTGCAGACCTACAGAACCATAATCTCCAGGTTAGGACCCAGAAATCTGTATTTCAATAAGGTCTCCTGGCGATACTTCTAAACTAAAGCTGATGCAAAGGTGCACCATGTCAGGGCAGTGATTTTAAGGTACAGATCGGCTTCATGTCTTAATTTGAACATTATGAGAAATGGCAGTATAGTCAAGAGTACATTGGTTAAAAATTCATTTAAAGATCAAATGGCAATTTAGAATTTTATCTTCTCTTCTTCTCTGAAATTGAATTTCTTTGGGGCTTCCAGGTAAACAATGACTACTCATTATCTCAATATCATATTATACCAAGACCCTACAGTCAGTTAGCAGTTTTAGAAAATATAATTAAATACTCATTAAAAAATACACTCCCTCGATTCCCAGTCAGGGCACATGCCTGGGTTGCAAGTCGGTTTCCCAGCTGGGGACGCACAAAAGGCCACCATGCATTGATGTTTCTCTCCCTCTCTCCTTCCCTTCCCCTCTAAAACTAAATAAATAAAATCTTTAAAAAAATACACTCACTGCTTAAAGATTTTTATTTATATATTTTTAGAGAGAGGGGGAGGGAGGGAGAAAGAGAGGGAGAGCAACATCAGTGCAAGAGAAAAACATCCATCGGTTGCCTCTTTTTTTTAATTTAATTTTATTTTTTTTATTGATTATGCTGTTACAGTTGTTCTATTCTCCCCTTCATTCCCCTCCACCCTACACCCCCGTCCCCACCATTACCCCCCCCTTTAGTTTATGACCATGTGTCTCAAGTTCTTTAGATTCTATATTTCCCATACTATTCTTGCCCTCCCATCAATTTTCTATCAACTGTCTATGCTACTTCTTTTCTGTACCTTCTCCCCCCTTCTCCTCCTCCCACTCCCCTGTTGCTAACCCTCCTTGAGATCTTCATTTCTATGTTTCCACTCCTGATCTAGCTGTCCATCGGTTGCCTCTTACGCGCCCTCCAACCAGGGACCCAAACTGCAACCCAGGCATGTGCCCTGAGCAGGAACCAATTGAGCAACCTTTCGCTTTGCTGACAGCGCCCAACCAATTGAGCCACACTAATCAGGGTTAATAGAGCCACTGTCAATAAGAATCTGACAGAGAAATATGACACCTTAAAACTTTACCCAGCTGGAATAGTTAGCATAACTTCATAGCTCGCACAATTTTCATTTTCGTGAGAGATTTACAAGGACAAAATTTATAAAGATATTAATTATTTAAACTATAATTCAACTTAATTGTACACCCATGTTTACATGTAGAGTTCTTAGATGTCAGTGTAAATAATAATATAAATTGTATGACTCATAAGGCAATTTTAAGAAATTTAGGTGATTCTTTTTTTATTGTTTTAAGATTTTTATTTATTTTGTTCTAGAGAGGGGTGAAGGGAGGGAGAGAGGGACCTGATCAAATTCCTACGATTTCGCCCTAGAAGTAATTTGATTAAATTTATAGCTACCAAAGAGACGTTATCTGTGGAATGAGCCGTTGATTGAATTCAAAGATTGAGGCCTCGTTTGTGTCTAAGTATTCAGGTATTTGGAGTTCAAATCTAGATTCCATGATTGACTCTTTGTGGCCCCCAGCAAATTACCTCTCTGGACCTCAGTTCCTGCAGCTTACGACAACAGTTACAAAGGCTACCTCATATGGCTGTAAAATGCTTCGCCGCACAGGGGGAACACTTGGGAAATGATTGCAGAAAAGTCCTTGCAGATAACGCAATCCGTTTTTGTCCTGAGAGATGGAGAGCGCAGAAGACGGTACCCTGAGCTCCACCCTGAAGGGCGTGGCCAACCGAAGGTGCCTCCGGGTGTGGCCGCTACCAGACGCCAGGCCCTGCACTCGGCAGCCTCAGCCTTAGCAAGTGATCTCCTGGTTTCTGACCGCACGCTGGATGAACTGATGGTGAGTCTGTGCGCTCCAACGCAGGGGCAAAAAGTGAGGTGGGAGGTCAGAAACGGGACAGCTGGGAATCCTGGCAGGTGGTCCACTTACGTGGGAGGAAAGGCAGAAACGTCAAAACGGTTTCCTTCGGGCATGTGTTCACTGAGCCCCGCCACAAGCCTGCCCTGCCTGGGGGATGGCTTGTCTCGTTGGCGGCCTTCCCCAAGGCTCCCTGAAGGCATAGCCCCTGCCCTGCTGCTGGTCCCCTGGAGAGCCCAGAACACCGCCTGGTCTTGGGCAACTGTGGACGTCTGTGGAAGGGGTGCAAAGATATGCGGAGCCTGAGACAGATGAGATGGAAGAGCCTGGGCGGGTTGGGTTAAACATTCACGATAAGAAATGTGGACTGACTGCCTTCTTTCCGTCCTTCCTTCCGTCCTTCCTTCTTTCCTTCCTCCCCAGAAAATCTTATTTTTACTTCCGCCAACTTCATTGAAATATAATCGACAAACTCCTATAACTGTGTGTGTATGTGTGTGGATGATAATTTGATACATAATTTGGAAATGATTGCCACAATCAAGGTAATTAGCACCATCTCAACGGTTACCTTTTTGTTTTTGGTGAAAATACTCTTAGCAAATTTCAAGTACACGGCGTGGCTTTTACTAACTGTCAGCACCACACAGCACCATGCGTCTCCTACTCAACGTTGTCCCCTTTGATGCCCCCCCCAGCAACCACCATTCCACTCTCTGGTTCTATGAGTTCAGCTGTAAACAATACACGTCTTCCCCGTGTGTGTACAGTATTTGACTTTCCCTGTCTGAATTATGTCACATATCACAGCCATGTTCTTGCATATAACAGGGCTTCCTTTCTTTTTATGGCTGAATAGTATTCCATTGTGGACCTACCACATTTTCTTTATCCGCTTATCGCTGACCAACGTGTTGTTTTCTTATCTATTGTAAATAATGCTGCAGAGCATATACAACCCGGGTGTGCAGGTCTCAATACAGTATACTAAATGCATTTTCTTTGAATAAATACCCAGAAGTGGAATGACTGGATCACATGATAGTTCTGTTATTTACTCTTTTAGAAACTTCCATGCTGTTTTCCATAACACATGTACTAAGTTACATTTCCAACAGTGCACAGGGATTCCTTTTTTTTTTTTTTTTTCCCACATTCTTCCTAGAATCCTGGGGCATGCCCAGGGAGGTCTCTGAGGAAAATGCCCACAGTGGACGCGGGTCCGTGAGCACCCAAGTCCAGACTGATCCATTGCAAGTTAAGAGTCTTCCATTTGGGCCAAGTCACTTCCCCGCCCGGGACCTCTGTTTTCTCTCTTATTAAAAATAGGATCAATCATGGCTCTTACACTCTAAGGTCACAGTGGGAACAAAATATGGGCTAGACTAAGAGTCAGCAGGGATGGAAAGGAAGGACATGTGGAATTGGGATTTGAACTGAATGGGATCCCCGAACTTCTAACTTTTTTGCAGGATCCTACAGCTGAAGGTCCAGTTCAGTTACCAGACGACTGCAAAGAGATTTACTCTTTACTTGAGACACTCGAGGAGATTCTGCAGGATCTCCCTGAGACACGTGAGGCAAGATCCCCAGCCGCACCGCAGCCACAGCTGTGTGTACCTCCAACTTTCGACACGAGTGCCCTCACGGGCCAACACGAGTCCGTTCAGAACCAGGCGATGACTCCCTGGACGCCCACTTTGATGGTTTCTGAGGGTCCTAACATCCCTGGAACAGTCCTCGACCAGAACTTAACAACATTACCTGTTAAAGCCCTTGATATAGTCCCTGGAGACCTAAGTGCTACTTTTTCCATGGACCACACGGTGACCTCCTTTGATCAGGGAAAGCCTGCAGCAGCCTCCTGGGTAACGGGTATCAATGACAACTCAAAGACATCGTTCACTGATTGCCAAAAGACAACCGTCACGGCAAACAACATGACAATCTCCAATGAAAGTAGCCAGATGAAGACCCTCAGTGATGAATGCAACCTTGATAGAGCCCAGACAACCTTCAGTGGGAACCAGGCCCACTGTGGAGCCCAGGTGACCATCAATGGAGACCAGAGCCATTACAGAGGCCAGATGACCATCACTGGGGACCAAACCCATTCTAGAGGCCAGACGACCTTCGGTGGGAACCAGGCCCATTATGGAGGCCAGACAATCTTCAGTGGGAACCAAGCCCATTGTGGAGGCCAGACGACCTTCAGCGGGAACCAGGCCCATTCTAGAGGCCAGATGACCTTCAGCGGGAACCAGGCCCATTATGGAGGCCAGACAATCTTCAGTGGGAACCAAGCCCATTGTGGAGGCCAGACGACCTTCAGCGGGAACCAGGCCCACTGGCCCACCATGGAGACCAGACATTAAGAGCAATACCATCACCAAACCCATTCTAGAGGCCAGACGACCTTCGGTGGGAACCAGGCCCATTATGGAGGCCAGACAATCTTCAGTGGGAACCAAGCCCATTGTGGAGGCCAGACGACCTTCAGCGGGAACCAGGCCCATTGTGGAGGCCAGACGACCTTCAGTGGGAACCAGGCCCATTATGGAGGCCAGACAATCTTCAGTGGGAACCAAGCCCATTGTGGAGGCCAGACGACCTTCAGCGGGAACCAAGCCCATTGTGGAGGCCAGACGACCTTCAGCGGGAACCAAGCCCATTGTGGAGGCCAGACGACCTTCAGTGGGAACCAGGCCCATTATGGAGGCCAGACAATCTTCAGTGGGAACCAGGCCCATTATGGAGGCCAGACAATCTTCAGTGGGAACCAGGCCCATTATGGAGGCCAGACAACCTTCAGCGGGAACCAGGCCCATTATGGAGGCCAGACAATCTTCAGTGGGAACCAAGCCCATTGTGGAGGCCAGACGACCTTCAGCGGGAACCAAGCCCATTATGGAGGCCAGACGACCTTCAGCGGGAACCAGGCCCATTATGGAGACCAGACAATCTTCAGTGGGAACCAGGCCCATTGTGGAGGCCAGACGACCTTCAGTGGGAACCAGGCCCATTATGGAGACCAGACAATCTTCAGTGGGAACCAGGCCCATTGTGGAGGCCAGACGACCTTCAGTGGGAACCAGGCCCACTGTGGAGCCCAGGTGACCATCAATGGAGACCAGAGCCATTACAGAGGCCAGATGACCATCACTGGGGACCAAACCCATTCTAGAGGCCAGACGACCTTCAGTGGGAACCAGGCCCATTATGGAGGCCAGACAATCTTCAGTGGGAACCAAGCCCATTGTGGAGGCCAGACGACCTTCAGCGGGAACCAGGCCCATTGTGGAGGCCATATAACAGCTTTTCAAGGGAGCGATACAATGACCTTCCTTAGTGACCAGACCTTTACTGGGGGCCAGGTGACAACACATAGTGCTGACCAGACCCTCTATGGGAGTCAGATGGTGGCCCTTAAGAGAGACCTGAAGACACACTTCACTGATGACCACATTCTCTATGGCAGCCACATGATGCCATGTCAGTCGACATCACTGCCATACTCAGGATTCCTGTACTTTTCAAGTTCCTGTTATACCCAAGGACAGTCCCTAGAAAAGCAGAAGTCAAAACTTAAGACCCAGAGCTGTCAGTTCCCGAAGAGTCTTGGTGTTTTGAAGCCCCACACTTGCACATACCAGGACTGTGGGAAATCATATTCAAAGCATTCCCACCTCCAAATCCATGAGCGCAAACACACTGGTGAGTGAGGGCCAAGGGTCAGGGTGATAGGTAAGTCCAAAGATTTGTGCTTTCACAAAGCATTGGGATCATTTGAGATTGTTGTTCCTCTAAGACCCCATTAGACCCTAGAAAAGATTGGCAAACTTGAAAGGGTAGATAAAGCAGTCCTGGGGACAGAGTCTAGTTCTGAGCCAGAGCCAAGCTGGCTGCGGTCTTACATGTTGTTGCCTCTGTTGGGATGTTGGGAGTAAGTGGAGGGATTTGTTTGACCTCGTGTGGATGGTTTTGACACCACCTCTACTGGGACTGTCACTCCATAGTCCTCTCCTTAGGCCTGACAGATCCCCTCCCTCACCCTCCTTATCCCTCCTTATCCTCCTGACCCCTTCTTCTATTTTTCTTTTCCTCTTCCTTTCCCTCCTTCACAGCTTTCTTCTCACCCTTCCAGCTCCTGCTGCCCTCCTTCTCTTCCTCTTTCACTCACCCTCTCCAGTCTCCTCTCCTCTGGTTCTCTCTCTTCCACCCCAACATTCTCAAAACCTTTTCCTTCGTTTACTTCCAACTTTCTTGTTCCACACGACCTTGAAGCGTGACAAGTCTCTTTCTGTCTGGTCTAGGAGAGAAGCCCTACAAATGCAATGTGCAGGGATGCACCTGGGAATTCGCCCGTTCAGATGAGCTCAGCAGACACAACAGAAAGCACAGTGGGGAGCGGCCCTACCTGTGTACTCTGTGCAACAAGAATTTTGCAAGATCTGATCACCTAAAGCAGCACCAGAGAGTCCACCGCCTGTGACTACGAATCCACAGCCCATGAGGAAATGAGTACAGCCAAAAACCTCTCCCTACCAAGCCTTTGTTTGCTCGGCACCTAGCTCTGTGTCACCACATGTTATTTATAAGCTTGTAAGGTTTTTATTGATTTTCTAAAACATAGAAGGAATACATGTATGCATTTCAATAAAAAGCATTTTGTCTATTCAAACACTGAACCTCCTCTCGTGGCTATTTCTTCTCTCAGGCAAAGCATCTCCTTCCCCTTCATCTTCTCAATATGCGGCCCAAATACAGAGGTGGTGGAGGCATTGGAGGAGGGATGGTCATGTGCCAGGTAACGGGGGAAGGGTCTGTCCTTTCCACTGGGTATTGGCCTTTTTCTTTCTTGCTTCTGCTGGCATGTCTGCAGCTGGGGTGACCTGCAGCCTGTTTCTTTGCACGGGCCTGGCTCGGCAACTGCTGTGGAGGAGCTGAGCCGTACTCCACGCTGATTCGGCCCTTCCTCCTAGCTCTTGCCGGCCCTGGCCTCTTAGGTCTGGCTTTGACTCCCATCCAACCCCCAGCTGGTGTAATATCTCCCCTGGCAGAAAGCTGTGGAGAAAGCCAAGGGTGTGATCTGTCCCTCCACTCATTTCCAAGGAGGGAACTAGGAAAAGCTCTTTCTACCCAGAGCCCTAAAGGAAAGGGGACCTCCAATCCCCAAGGCTTCAGTTTGCCCTGCAACTTTTCAGGTCTTTCCTGGCCCACCCACTCTCACGGAGGTTCCAGAAGCTAGATTTTTGAGGGCCCCGGGCAGCATTTTAAATTAGCAGTGTGGGCAGGTGTTTTTTTTTTCTCCCCCAAGAAGCCAGTATCATTATGGGTAGACAGTGGTTTTAGTTGTTGGTAGGTAATTGGGTAGGTTCATGGGTCATTCACATGGCCCACTAGAATGTAACAGTTCTCATCATACAATGGGCCAAGTAGCAGTACAGGTAGACAATGCATCTATACCAGTAATACATTCAGTGGGGGAGCCAAAAGCAGAAAATGTCTGTGGAGACCTGACAGGACCCACTGGGCTTGGGCAAGAGTCCCAGTGATAGTGGTCTTGAACCCAAGGCCAAAGAGCTTTACTTGCTTGCCCCTCATCCTGAAGCCAGGGTTTCAGGAATCACAGTCACATGTGCACAGAAGCCAAAGCCCAAGAAGTGAGTTTCTCCCTCACATCCCCAGTGAACCTTGACCTTGGCATAGGCCCTCCAGTCCCCCATGCGGACACAGGGCCCTAGACCTGACCCTCAATCTTACTTATTTTTGAATGCCAAGAGGTCCAGGTAAGACTGGCAGTACTGTCCAATCCATCTCCCGGGTCACTGAGAACCCCGTCAGGTGCCACTGAATCCCATGGTCTCTCATTCTCCTTTGACGCTGTCTGCCAGTGATCAAATTCAGAGACGTTTTGGGGAAGGCCTTTGCCCAGGCTGGCCAGCAGAGGGCACTAGGTTTTTATTCTCAGCGGCCTTTTCTCCAGGTCTGCTATTTGGCCGGTTGCTGCTTCTTTTGTGCCTGGGCATTTGTCAGCTAAGACTCGGACTGTGTTGGGACCATCCTCCTGGCCTCACAGGGGGGCTCGGTAGGGCCAGGTGACCTGCACCAGCAGGAACAGCACAGACGGACTTGGAAATCGAAGTCTGGCTAACAGTCTTACCATCTACTGTTCTCAGTCCCTCACTGTCCAGCCAAGTGACCACGAGGATGGCCTGCAGGTATGGTCCGAACTTGCAGAGCCAAACAGCACCTGCTGAGGAAGGAGTGCTCCCTGTCATCCACCTCTCCACCTTGTGAAAGAAGGATTCTGCTTGATGCATCTCACACAGCACCACTCTCCGTCACAAAGTTCAACAAGAAAGACTATTTATCTAAAATATCTATTTTTACAGAGAGAGAGAGGAAGGGAGGGAGGAAGATGGAGAGAAACATCAATGTGCAAGAGATACATCAATCAGTTGCCCCTTGCACACCCCCAACCAGGGACCTGGCGTGCAACCCAGGCATGTGCCCTCACCAGGAATCTGTCTGGCAGCCTTTCATTTTACAGGCTGATGCTCAAGCCTGTAAAATGAAAGGTCTTTTCAAAGTGAAAGCAAACTAACCAAGTCACTAAGGTCTCTTTGGGCCACTGGACCAAGTGATCCTAAAAGACTCTACACCCTCACTAGAGGCACGAGTTGTGAAAACACGCAGTCTTGCAGGGTGTCCCTTGGTCCCAGGAACCTGCTTAGAGCCAATAGTTACTGCGTGCAATTCCGCCTGGGAGGCCTCTGACAGTTTTTGGTCCCCTTGCTGCAGGACCATGAACAGCTGCCAGGGAACTGCTTCTGTGGCTTAGCTTTCCTAGAGTCCCTTGGTTGGATTTCTAATTTGACCCACTGACAAGGATCTGAGGGTAAAGAGGATCAGTGGTTCCCCTCAGAACTGGAAAGTTTCTGTAACTAATCCACCAGCGCTCCCCAGGGCCCGCCGGCATGGCTGTCAGAGTGTCCCTTGGGCCTTCAGGCTTTTTATTCTCCCAGAAAATCTTTGTGCTCAACTGGCCACCCAGCTCCCTTCATCAATTTGTTGGGCTGCCAGGTGCCAAGACGGTTAATTAGGACGACGGGCCAAACTGAAGGTAAGACTCCAAGCTTTATTCACTTACTGTGACAGAGCAAGAAAGGGTGAAAAGGAGAGAGGCTGCTCCCTCACGCTCCATTTTCTCCAGGGAACAGCACTGGGGGGGCTCACATGACAGGCAGACGGGAACTGTCTCATCGCCAACAGCCCCAGAGAAAAGATTCCTGCCCTTGCATGGACCTGGAGAACCTGGGGGAGGAAGAGGACGAGGGGCTAGTACTAAGTCAGAACGAGGATAGTGTCTCACCAAGGACCCCAGTCAGAAGGTGTCCGATGGAGGTCACCTGGTTAGAAACACCAAAATGCGTAAGAGTGTGACCGGCCACAGGGCCCTCAGTGCATCAGTCCCCTTCAGAAAGGTTCCGGGCTCCGAGAGTGCGCCAGGCGTCCTGTGGGGAGGGCAGCTTCCTCCCTGAGGCCACCCAGACAAAGTCTTATGGTCAGGCTGGAAAATTCATACATAGGAGTTTGGCCTGGAGCCAGACTCCCCACCGAATTTAGGAGTTGGAATATGACGGACACTTCTGTATCTGCCTTTGTGCCTCTCCTGTCCAGCCCTGTGTCTGCCCTCCAGAATTAACTACTACCCTGAACTTCGTATGTATACATGCCCTTGATTTTCCTTATATGGATTTACTACAAATATATGTGTTCAAAATTTTTCTTGTTTTGAGCTTTAGATAAATTACCATATTTTGCCCTGTATAATGCCCACCCACAGTTTTTGTGCACATTATATACGGGATTATTGTTCCCATTATTATACTCATGGTATGTAATCCTCATTCCCATGTATAATATGCATCCTTATTTTTCCCTCAAAAGTTTAGGTGAAAAAGTGCTCACTATACATGGCAAAATATGGTATTTGAAGCTCTATATAATTTTATAAAACTGGCCTGTTCTCAACTCAACATTATAGTTCTAAGATTTATCTATGTTTTTGCTAGGATTGAAAAAAAAATCCACCCTGACCGGCGTGGCTCAGTTGATTAGCATCGTTCTACAAAGTTAAAGGTTGCCGGTTTGATTTCCGGTCATGGCACATCTTGACCCTCCTGGGTTGGGGGTCAAGAAACAACTGATTGATGTTTCTTTCTCACATCGATGTTTCTCTCCTTCTATTCCTATCTCCCTTACCTTCTCTCCAAAAATAAATAAATAAAATATTTTTAAAAATCCATAACAACCCCAAACACAACTTATATACATTATCAGCACTCTAGGGTGGGGAGGAGACCAAAGAGATAAGAGAGTGCACTCATGTTAAGTGCAGCCACCAGAAAACAAAAAGATAACACAGCCATCCTTCATTACTCATGTGTAATCTGCTGAACAGTGGATTTTCAGACATTATCCAAAATATAAAAAATAGTAGCACATTTCTAATCCACCGAAAAACCCCAAACATTTTGTGACAACAAACTCACAACTATCAACAACTGAACCTAAAACAAAAACAAAAACAAACATAAACTAAGCAAACAACTAGAACAGGAACAGAATCACAGAAATGGAGATCATATGGAGGGTTATCAGTGGGGAGTAGGAGAGGGGAGAATGGGGGCAAAGGTACAGGGAATAAGAAGCATAAACGGCAGGTACAAAATGGACAGGAGGAGGTTCAGAATAGTATAGGAAATGGAGAAGCCAAAGAACTTATATGTGAGACCCATGGTCTAAGTGGGGAGGAATGTGAGTGGGAGGGGAGTGAAGGGTAGAGGGGAATAAAGGGCAGAAAAAAATGGACATCTGTAATAGCATTATCAATAAAGTAAATTTTTTAAAAATCCCAACTATTTTGCTCGAATTTTGCTAAAACACTCATAAAACAATCCACCAAGGATTTCACATTACATAAAACACTGAAACCCCCAATTACATATTTAAAGTGTAATGGGACTTCCAGTGAAGATGGAGGCCACACACCTCACCTCTCCGTACAACTATAGCAAAAAATGTAGCTACACTACAAAACAAGTATCACCCAGAACTGTCAAAAAATTGAGCTGTGCTCTGGTTGGCATAGCTCAGTGGATTGAGCGCGGGCCTGTGAACCAAAGGATCGTGGTTCGATTCCCAGTCAGGGCACATGCCTGGGTTGCAGGCCAGTTCCCAGCAGGGGACACAGGAGAGGCAACCATACTTTGATGTTTCTCTCCCTCTCTCCTTCCCTTCCCCTCTAAAGATAAATAAATTTTTTTTTTAAATTAGTGTTGGTTACCTAACTTTAAAAAAAAAATCGAGCTGTGTGGAAGTCTGACAACCAAGGATTGAAAGAAGCCACGTGTTCTAGACCGGTAGGAGGGGCAGAGACACGGAGAGACACAGAGAGGTGTGGAAATGTGGAAAGACATGGAGACA